ACCATACACAAAATATGGAGTGACTGAAACTATATTACATGAATATTTTATACAGAAAAAAAAGACTAATAACATATTCAGATGAAATTTATCATTAAATTTTGGATGTTATACGATGTTAAATATGGTATATTCAAAACAAACAATTACTATTTATAGAACCAATTTGATATTTTACTATTTAAAATACTGAATACAGTGTAATGAGTACTTATAAAAATATTTTAATCAAAAAGCTATGTTCTACTCATTTACTTAGCAGTTACAAAAATATATATTCATCTGAAACTCTAATAAATTTGCTTGAGGCATTAGATATTCAAATTCAAATGTATGTTTTCCAAAGAATTTCACCAACTTAGTATTCTTGGCTACATACTGTATATATACGTACATGGTATTAGAATAGGTTTGTGTTACAAATAATGTCATTTTAAGTAAAAGACAAGGGTGATCAATAACACATAGAAACACTCTGAAAGTTTTCGAACAAAACACATCCAACGCATATACCAGACCATCAGCTGTGTCTATACAAAGTAAATCCTCAAAAACATTTGTTGAATGAATAAATGAGCAGATGGCATTTATTATGTTATTTGCACCTATAATTATTAACTATACAAAGCTTTCTACTTCTTTTTTTTTTTTTTCTTTTTTTCTTTTTTCGTGTCCGGCAACGGATCGCAACCCTCAGTGTCACGCCCGTACCAAAGCTTTCTACTTCTAGTAGAAATATAATTTTAAAATTCAACAATTTTGTTCTTAACCAGCTACTTCTCAATGACAAAGCCAGGTCAATGGATTCCAGACTGAAGAGCAAACTACCGTCAGTGATCAAAAGACATTCTACCAGGCACACCTGCTACATAGTTAGACAGCTCTGATGTCTACAGCACAGACATTCAATACATTGAACAACTCTGTTTTTCATATCTTCATACAAAACAAGACATAAGAATCTAAGTAATTTATTTAATGTAGTATCATAAAAACAAAAGGTAGTACATATATAATATATAGACATATACATACACATGTATATCTCATTTAGTAGGCTTAGTAGACTTTCAGATATGTCCTCTCAGTGAGAGAAGCAAGCTATCCTGAGTGAAGCAGGCCTTGTGTCTACGTAACAACTGCTAAGGGGTGCACGGACCATACTTTAACAGTCTTTTATGTATGCTCAGTGAATGCTTGGCAGCATGAATGCTGAGATCACTGTTAATGGCAAAGCCTGAAGTAGTAAAATGTTTCTAAATGTAATGACTGTTATGAAATTGCAGCACCTGGGAAGATAATGGCCACTATTTGTAAAAGGAAGGTCCTGGGGCCATTCTTGGCAGAGACTCATGACTTTTCTCTACCTATACGCTCTGTTTCATGCAGGGTGAAGTTTTGCTGAGGCTCATCACTAAAACTTAAAACACTTGATAGAGTACAGAATATTTTTCTCAATCAAAATTCAGATCAGCCTAAACCATTTCAAAAGCTTTTGGTTTAGTACCTAAGCAGGACAGCTGATAACTCATTCAACAAACTGGTTCATATATACACATGATAATGAAATTACTAATGGCTATGGCAGAGTAATAACTCTATAACTATAATTTGGAAAGATAGTTCACATAAAAATAAGTCTTTAAAAGTTAAACACAGTTTCTAAAAATTCAGAAGCAATTTAGTCGAATACTAAAGGTTAGTTTCAATCCCACTAGTGCAGAAAGCCTAAAAATGACCATGGAAGTAAAATGTAAAGTAAAAATGACGTTAAAGTAAGGCTTTTAATTTTGAATTTGAGTACAATGGTTTTTCAAAAATACGAATGAATAAAACATATGATCAATAATCTGCATCAAACCACACTACTCGGGAAAAGATCTACTTGAACTAACCAAAAAATACTTTAGTATTTTAAATACAAATGTATTACAGTCATGAGCCACATAAGGACATTTAGGTCAATGACGGACCACGCATATGATGGTGGTCCCAAAAGATTATTAATGGCTATACCATATAGCCTAGGTGTGTAGTAGGCTCTACCATCTAGGTTTGTGTAAGTGCACTCTATGATGTTCACACAACAATGAAATAGTCTAACACATTTCTCAGAACATATCCCAACATTATGTGGCCCATGACTGTAGTTTCAAATATGTAGAGTTATTTACTCTCAACTGAATGCTTCCAAATCAATAAATATTAATTTTGCCTATAAAATGTATGCGCTCGAAGAGTGGAATAGTTTGTTTTCTTAAATTAGTTAATATGCTCCTTAGGACTTGTTTAGCCATTAATTTTCTTGGCTCTTACAGTTAGTGTCAAGATCAACTTCATTTCATTCTGAATTTAATGATCACAAAATTAAATTAATAGCATCAGAGCCAATGTCATTTCAATGTCATGTATTTCACAGGATCATAAGACAACCTAACTTGAAATTGAACACTGTTGCAAGAAGAGTGGCCAGTGAATACACAGGGAATCTAAGCCACTGGAAGAATACAGTTAAAGAGCAGAAAACAGTATGAGACTTCAGATTGAGATATTGGTTTATAAAATAAAGCTTACATTCTAAATTCAACATTAGATATCCAATAAAAGTAAAACTAGTACAGAAATTTTTTCTCTCTTTCTTTCTTTCTTTTTCTTTAAACAGTGATGGAAATAGATTTAAAATTCTAATCTTCCCAAATTCCCCATACTTTTAATATTATGTTAAATTTTGTAATATCAAAAATTAACACTAGAAAAACTTACAAGATATGATGGGATGTTTAAGATGTATTAACTATGAATTATTAGTTAACCATCATTTTTGAGTCAGGTCCTGTGTGAAGATCCAAATTTTCTATGCATGACCTTCCGTTCTAGGTGAATAGGGGCAGATGTCCAAACTCAGAATTTGGAAGAACAGTCGGAAGGCTTTAGCAACACGAGGGTACACTGGTTACATGAGCATGTAACATTTAGGTAAACACGCTCTAAAAACTCAAGGCCAGTTAAATGTCCAATGTCACACAAAGGTACATTATGATATTGAAAACTTGTCATTATTCATTCACACATTAGATATTACTTACTGTTATCATTATTTTGGAATTAAAGTCAAGTTTTATATGATGTACTATTCCAGACTTTCAAAACATATCTAAAACTGTTATCTTCAATTATGAGGAATATGGTATAAAATTCTTTTCTAGGTTGCCTCGATCAGTGTTAGCTACAATTTTTATTATGATCAAAAATTACAGTGGCCGATGTTAACATAAACCATTACTAACTTTTGAGCATTTAATTAGTACGTAGCACTCTGATAGATGGTATGTTTATATTTAATCCTAAAAGTAATATTAAACACATTCTATATAGAGAGAGTAGATCCTTACAAATATTTTAATTAATAAATACCACAATAGCAGATAATTTGCCTCATGAAATACAGCGAAGTGCAACTGAATTGTCTAAGTGATCCCTTCACATCTCTAATGCGGATTACTCCTTCGAGGATGGTGATTAGAAAACAGTAATAATGTGGAAAGTACTTGATAGTTAACCAGTCGTGTTCACCTACATTAAAAGTAATCCAATTTTCAGTATAAGAAAACCACAAATTATATGGCCATTCAGGATCACTTGCCGCTAATATCAAGAATGTTAAATTCTTGAAAGTTAAGGATATACTCAATATAGACATTTATGTAAAGGTTTATTAAATTCAAAATGTTCAACTTTTTCTTTGAAAACTCTTAATGGTTTCCTTATTTTCATTATACATATGGACTTATCACAAAAGTCTCAAGTGCTTCTGTGCCAAATACCAATTACTATTACCTTGACCAATAGTATATAAACATCTCACACATACATAATACAGTATTTTTGTTATTCAGAACACAACTGCTAGTGATGAAGGATTTTAATGATAGTTTGAAAACCATTATCAAATTTCATAAATTAAAATATAATGGTTTGCATATACTTTAGTTATAAAAAGCATTTCACATACTAAATTAGTCTAACTCCATATAATTTTCACAATAACAGAAAGTGTGTTTTAATTGTTTTGAAAATTATGAATTTAAAATCAGCATTCCTATATTCACTATGCTAAAAACGATGTTATTGTATCAAGGTAAAAATGATAAACATTAGTTATACTATTGCATGAGGATAGAATACACCATGTGTTTCCATAAATTATCAAGGTCCCATCCTTATAAATTACAAGTAAAGCTTTATTTTCACAGCTCATAATACCTGGACCAAATAATAATAATAATAATAATACTTGTGATGATGTATTCTTTTAATAGTCTGACATTTCAAATAAAAGCCTTCATAAAATTAAGAGTTTTAGGTATCTTTCTAAGTTAAAGGTTGAGTTTTTAAATAGGCTTTTTATTCTCTTCTTCACCCTAGTCCCCGTCCCCTCCCTGATCCCCACCTCTCCCCACCCCATAGCCACCAATGGCACAGCACCCACTACGCACAGCCAAGGAACCCCTTCCCACTGGAGAGACTGAAGACACACTGGCTCACTAGTGCTGTCCATGTGCATAAAGGATACCTGAAAGCAGCTGGAAGAAAGTCTTGCTGGAGACCTCAGTCAGCTCCCCTCTCTTCTACTGAGAAATAAGCTGACAGGAGAAAGAATAAAGCCGCTTTTCCACCTTTCATACATAAATGACTTTCTCTGATGCAAGGGGGATCCAAAAACCTTTGCCACCCACTCTACATTGTCCTTAACATTTCTCATAATGATTTGCAGAGTGGCCATGTTTAGACTACAGTGACAGACTTCTTCAAGTGGAAATGCCCATTATTACCAGTGCACTTTTTGGGGAGATGAAAATAAACACAATGAAATAATTTTAATGAATGGGAAAGGAGGCCCAATAGTTAACTTTTTTTTCTCTCATATTTTTTTCTATAAATTCCAGGACTAAATTTTACCCTAAAAATGAATATTTAATATCAATATACATACAGAGACGAGGTTGGGAGGCAGAATTGTTTGAATGCACTCTAATCCATTTCCAGCATAAATATCCAAGTGCAAACTGAACGTTAGTTGTTTATACCATGGTGACAGATTTAGAGAAAAAAATGCATTTCTTATCTTCAGTGGAGAAGGCTTAACCAGCATGTTCTTTCTCTAGACCAGTGTCCCAAAGCTTCTGCCTGCCAGGTTCCTTGGTAACTTTCTTCATTCTTCTCCAGCTGGGGGAGGCGGCTCGCACAGCTTATACAGCCTAGAAAAGGCACGGGAAAGACTGACAGCCATCCAGTATATTGCCATTAATGGAGATGTTTTTATTATTAGAACAAACACATTGGTGATAATTTCTTGATTCATGAGTCATGATCACGTTGTCTATTTCAGTAAAAATAGCATATGAATTAGCAAACGCCAAAATTTCAGTTGTATGATTGAGCAAACAGCACTGTCCCTTTGGACATCGAGATGGATACAAATAAAGCAACATTGCATTTTTTTAAACCTGCTGCTTCTGTTCCAGTTTTACCAACCCAGGCTGTTCACCTTGCTGGTAGTACCATCTATTCTCTGAATCCCAGGAGGTTGCATTATGTTGATAATTACCATCCAGTCTAGCATGATCATCTTGCAGCAAGACAGCACCTATCTCATAGGGGTCTACTGATTTTCTGACTAGTTTTAGAAATTTACTTCATTTTGTACTGTTCCCTTGGTACAGGCAGTTAGTTGGCTTTGGAAAGGATGATTTGGCAGATTCCTAACGCCTGACTCTCAAATTAGCTGGTATCTCCTAAGAACTAACAACTCAGCTCTGCCCAGCCCCCACTCACCTGCCAGTGGAATCTCCAAGTGAGTCAAGGAATCCCTTTGAATCATGGAGACAGCAGGGGTGCTTCCCCTCTGCAGCCCAGGTCTGGTTGTTTGAGACCATACAGCATTAAGGCAAAGCACAGAGGACTCACCTAGGGTTACACAAGTTCCAGTGCCCCACGTTCTCCTGAATGGTTAAATCGTAACTCCAGAACCAAAGTAAAAGGGCACATAACAGCTGCCAGATAACCGTGACCTCAAGGCCATACACATTACTCACAGCGAATCCTGAGAGAAGAGCAGCTGACCTAAAGTGTCTGGATATGGGACTATGCTTGTTCTCAACAGTGCCCCAGCCACGCTGGTTCTACTGAAAGGCTGAGACTAATAAACTCAAAATATAAGGTGCAGATTTCAATTTTGTACCTTTTAAAAAGCCCTCCCTTTTATGGATTAAATTGAACACAGCTTAAATAAATTGTTAACCAATTTAGCAAATTATACATTTCCTTTCTCTTTGATATTTAATCCCATGCTAATTCTAAATCCAAGGAGAAGAATAAGAAAGACTAAGTATTGAGTTATAAATCCCAGCTAACAAAATGAACTTCCCTAAGCTGCAAACACATAGAAGTTATTGCCTTTGGAGGTTTGCAAAATATATTTCAAGTCTGGAAGGTGGTTTATGCTCTATGTGTTATCACCAATGGAAGAGGTAAATACCGAAATAAGGACATCTCATATCAGAAAAGTGTAAATCATCCTTCCGTGAGAAAAGAATACATTGAATTGACCTAGGGCACTTCAAAGGTTCTTTTGCAGCTGAAGGATATGGTGTTGATTTAAATTGTATTCCCAGAGCTGAAATAATAGAATGATTAGAAGGTTCTTTTCCTCCTTAATGTCTAAGCTCTTATTTCCCTGACAGTGCAGCCTCATGAGTGAAAAGGCACGTGGCCTAACTCAGGTCGAACAGAAACAGGAATGTGGGTGACCATGTCCTGCCCTGTGAGATCTGGGCTGGGTGATTACATTCCATTACCTCGCTTTGCATGTTGACACATAATGTAGCTAATGCCACTGTAGTCAAGTCCTTGAAATGTCTGCCTTGCAAATTGGAGAAAAGACTACTCCCTGTGATCCCCTAATTAAATAATAGCTCTGGGCACTGTACAGCTGGGCAGAATCAGCTTCTGTGAGCCTTCTTGAAGTGACTCAGGGTTATTTGAGTTCCATTTGTAATGGAAATTGTGGAGCTTTGGGAATTTAGGACAGGCAGATGAAGTTTGGAAGTGAAATGTAATAGGTAAGAGTTGGACTCTTACTCCGCACTGAGGCATTTGTTTTTTGGCAGCTAAATTGTTGGGCAGTGGGAGGCGTTGGTTTGTCCAACATTTGGGACCCTTGCTGTACTCTCTTTCCAGTCATACACACCAGTGGCTTGCATGAAAAAGGTTTGCTCTTGGCTCCACTTTCTCCTATTCCTGTTTAGGCACAGGCAGCCAACTTGGAGCTGGTATTTCCAACCCAAATCCACATTTGCAGAGAGCAGAATTTGCAAACTTCATTCTATAGATCATACCCTTCACCTTTCTACATGGCAAAAATTGAAACTGTGTTAAAGGAGATCACAAAGCAAATGCCTCTCTCAAAGTCAAAGTATCAATAATACTCTGTCCCAAGGCAATTCCCCCCATCTTACAGATGAGAAAACTGAGTCTCAGAGAGGAAAAGTAACCTGACTAAATATAGTCACATAGCTAGCAGAACCTGGGACTCAAAACCATTTACTTTCACTTTTAACCACTATGGAATGTTGCTTCCAAATTGAACAAAGAAAATCAAGCTTTCGTAGCACAAAAGCTCCAGATTTTGTGATGTCATAGAAAATAAGACTAGTGTGCTACAACTGGAATGTAATACTTGGTTCTTGATGAAGACATTGCTCTGAAGAGTCAGTGTATGTATGGAAGTCCAAGGGGGAAGAACCACCTCTCCACCCCACCTCACATACATCTATCACAATACACGTTCACTGGACTGCCAAGTCTATTTTGTCTTTCTACTTTATTAGGCTGCAAGCTCCTGGAGCACATGGTGTTTCCCAACTATCTTAATATCCTAATGCCAAAAGCAGGTCCTGACACATATTTTAGACAAAGGTGGCTAAAGGGGAGTATGCAAAAGGTGTTGGAGCCAAGGATATCAAGGAAACATCAGTTCCAGGAGCAGGCTTTACCCTGTCACTCCCCAGAACCAATGGACCTCAGCATTATTAATACCGAGCTCCCTAATATTCTAATACTTTGTTCCCCAGCTTTCCAATTCCATAAATTATTAGATTCACTCTTTCTGTAGTGTGATTGTGGCAAATTCCTCCTTTCTGAATTTCTGAGCAACCACCTCTTGTTTTCCTTCAACTTCCCCAGTTAGATTCTGTGGCCCCCACTTCTCTGCTCTTTAGTGTTGGCATCGCCTGGTGGTGTTCAGACCTCCCTCTCTCATCTCTCCTGCCCATTTGCTACAGTAACAAAACCTATTTCTAGGTCTTCAACTAAATATTGATGACTCATGAGAGTATTGCTCTAGCAGTTCATCTCTCCTCAGCTTCAGAACAGTGTATTCAACTGCTCTCAAAGGCACCTCCAGGCGGATGGCCCACTGATCCTTGATGTCAGTATCACCCACCAAGCTGACCGAGCTCATCATCTTTTCCCTGTGCGTGTTCTTTTCACAGCACCTACTATTTGAGAGGCAGGAACCATTAACTCCTTGTTATCCAAGCAGCTAAAGATTTGGTAGTAATTTTAGAATCTTTCTTTCCCCTAAATTTCTTCATCGAATTAGTCGCCAAAGACTATTGATTCTGTTTTCTAAATATCTCTCTTATGTTGGTCCTCAATACTACCATAATCTCCTTTCAAGCTCCTGTCTTCAGTTTTACCTGTCCTCAAATAGACCCTCCTAATGATGCCCAAGAAAAATTCTAGAATTCAAATCTTCCAGAAAGGGAGATTGTTTATTAACTCCTCTCTATTGTCTTCAAGTTGAAGTAAAAACTCTTCAGTACTCCTAAAAGTCTCTTCCTGACCTGGCCCCTGCCTCCATCTCCAGCCTCACTTGCATCCTTCTGAAATCACATTTGACCAGCCGTCATAGAGCTCTAGGTGCAGTTCTCAGAATGTCACGTGTTTTCTGCACCCTGGTGCTGTTGCGCCTGCCCTGTGGGACATGCATCGCCGTGCTGACCAAGCCAGGAGTATTCTGCAACCTCCTCCCTCTATTCCTAGGCTGTGTTATGCACCTTCTCTGAGTTCTCATGACACACTTGCCTATTCTATCATGGCTCTTATTACGCTCTGTGTTCCATCGTCATTTTATTCAACGGTTGCCCTATTACACCTCAACAACTGGCAGAGGGGACTATGTCTTTATCCCTAGCTTTTAACAAAGAACCTGCCACCTACAGGCACACAGCAGAAACTCAATATATGTTTGCCGAGTAAATTAAAAATAATAATAAAGTGGATGGTGGAAGAAAAACTATGCAGCGATGGGTTGGGGACTTGAACCGAATACTATCTTAGGCAGAGATAGCAAACTTTACCTCCCTGAAGATATTTCCAGGAACATTACTCCAGCTTTGCCCATGGATGGCTAAGCTTTGAGAGCCAAAGGTATTCTTCAGTCACTGTCTTTGGGGCAGGAGTCCTGGTTCCCAGTCAGGAGGGTCCCAGCCCTTCTGTGCTCCTCAGCGTTCTCTCTGCACCTGCCATAAGGTGGGTCTCACATCCCACCTGTTCTTGTATTTCTGTTTTCCTCATTTCATATCTTTACCTGGAAGCTCCTCAAGGGACAGAGCTATTTCTATCTCAGGTTTATATCCTCCATGAGGTATAGCAGAGAGCTTTGCATTTCTTAGGTCCTCAATAAATATTTGTAGAATGAATGAAAGAATAAACAAAATACATTTTTTTTTATTCCATTTTAAAAATTACTCTTGGGCTGACCCCCTGGTGCACTCGGGAGAGTGCGGTGCTGGGAAGGCGGCAGCGCTCCCGCTGCGGGTTCGGATCCTATATAGGGATGGCCTGGCTGGTGCGCTCACTGGCTGAGTGCGGTGCGGCCGGTCACAAAAAAGACCAAAAAAAAAAAAAAAAATTACTCTTGATTCCTCTCTCGGGGATATTACTCCCTTGCAAAAAAATGTCAGCTTTACAGCTGGCTTATTTTATTGTGTTTCATTTCAAGCGTTTTAAACATAACACAATAAAGAAAAAAAGTGAGTTTGTCAGTTTTTTTTTTTCCTTGTGTTCAGCTTGCATATTGGTTTATTGGTCGGGGTGCTGAAGTCTTATTCCAACCCCACTGTTTATTAGTGTTTATAAGCTCTAGCTAAGAATACCTAGCTGAGCCTTTATCTTGTTTTCTTACTGGAATTTTAACACTTCAGTGAGTCTGTTATCGAAATATACCATGTCTGCTCAAAGTGCGGGAGAGAAAATGCTTATATATAATGACTATTTAGCAAGAGAAAATCTTAGATCTGAATCTAATCAACTATGAAAGATAACATTAACAAGACTTGAGGATTAAACAGACATAGGAGTCAGCACTAAAAATAAATACAATTGGAACATGAGTGCTCCATCCATTTTCAGAGAGAAAATGTTTTCTTTCTTGAAAGCACTTTCACTGCCCACACAGTTTTTCAGAATGAAATATAACTTCATAAATGCTGCAATCATCATTCCCACTCTGATAACTGCTTTATAAAGAGAAACAAATATGCCTTGTCTGTGACAGTGCATGGAGGAGCCTACTTTTTGTTAAAATGCAAGTGTATAAAGCAATCAAATGTAAAAAAAGCTGTTCAGGTTTGCTCCACTTCAAAATAGATGGCTGCCCACCCCAATCACCAGGGAAATCAAACCGAAAACACTTCTCAAACTGTGTTCATTTATTTTAAAAGTGGATTGGAGGCCTTTCTTATGATGATGTGGGAACTGGAAATATTTGGCATAACAAACAAAAAGCTCATTCATTCATTTATTCATTCATATATTCTTGAAATTAGTTTAGATATTTGATACCTACTATGTAGGCACTGTGATGAGCAATGAATAAAATCCCCCAAATCATATTCTCTACCTACAGAGAATTCATGTTCAGGTTTGCCAAAGAAACATAACAAAATATTGCAACAAAATACGATAAGGGCTATTCTAGATCAATGTATGAGATGCTAAGGGAGCACAGAGAAGGATACTCAAGCAAGACTCCAAGGAGAAAATGACATCTAAGCTGGGTTCTGTGGTTAATTAAGTAGGAGTTTTCCATACAGACACAGATGCGATGGGCAATCATGCCAGAGGGAACAGCGTGTGCAGTCATAGAAGTATAAATGAAAATAACATTTTGGTATTGGCACAGGGAGATTACAAATTTTTGTAGTATCTGTGTGGACTTTTGTTTTTGAATTCATGATAAAATTTGCAAAATAAGATAATATTCATTTAACTCTGAGAGCATTTATGCTGAATGACATAGCCACTGGGTGTTTACAAAGCCAATTTCCACAATTGCAGTCACTATGATACTGGGCATATCCTGGAGCACTTACATTAGCCACAAGTGACACCACCTGGGAAATGCTAGCGAGCTCTTTGGGAAAGGGCAGACCAGGGCATGTGTTTACCTTGGAGCAGACTGTGGGGTCCGGTCTCTGACTCCCAAATTCTTTGCTGTGTTCTGAACTCTTGCTCCCTGAAAGTCAAGAAAACCACTTTTAGCTCTACATCATATTAGTAGTTATTCAACATACCATTAACATCTGAGTATAGAATACGTATTCTAACAATGTCTTTAATATAAGAGAGACTGGATGAAGAGGAATAAGGAAATCACCATCTGAACATTTGCAAAATTAATGCTTTTAAGAATCAAAATGTGCTGATATGTTGTTTCAAAAGATTAATACACATTTCTATAGCCATCTGAGTCATTCAAAATAAGTTTAAATAACAGCTTTCTGTTCACAATCTCATCTATGTCTTTACTCCTGGAAGCAGTCAATACTTACAATGTTGAAAATAGGAAATGAACCAGCTACAAATACCTGTTGTGTTGCCACTTTTCATGAGACAGAAATCACAGTTCTATCACAATCATGCACCTGTTTTATCCTTGGCTGAATAGTTAGCTATTATAAACTTAATAGTATTTAGCAAGAAAATATTTTCTTAAATAGTTCTAAAGCAATTTGTGAACAAGGCATGTCCATGTGGATCTCTGAAATCTAAGAATTCTGCCTCAGTGATTATGGTGCACAGACAGTCCACTTCAGCAATGAAAAAGTCTCTACAATCTGTCAAGTTCATGAGTGAAGTTATAATCACTGTTCAATTCCTCGTGGGAATTAGTTACTACATAGAGCCAAACACCAGGGTTTTTGGCTGGGAATAGGTAAGGGAGAGTTGTTCAAAAAACTGCAACTTTCGGGCCGGCCCGGTGGCGCACTGCTACAGTGCGCCGCTTGAGAGTGCAGCGGTGCTCCCGCCAAGGGTTCGGATCCCACATACAGACCGGTTCCCGCTCACTGGCTGAGCGAGGTGCAGGCGCGACACCGAGGGTTGCGATCCCGTTGCCGGTCCCGGTCTGGTACGGGCACGACACTGAGGGTTGCGATCCGTTGCCGGACACGAAAAAAGAAAAAAAAGGAAAAAACAAAAAAACCCTGCAACTTTCTCCAGCTTCCAAATTCTGAACTAAGGAAAGGAAAAAAAGAATAGGAGAAAAGGAAGTAAAAAACAAAGAATATATTCTCTCAAGAGGAATCTAAAAAAGGAAAGCAAACAGGGAAAATGGGGGTTGGGGAGTGACAGGAAGACAAGGGGAAGGAATTTGAGAGTTGTGATTAAGTAGTAAAACTTTTTATTTTGAAGTAATTTTGGTTTTTGTAAAAACAGAACAGAGACTTCACACACTTCACCCAGCATCTCTGAAGGTTAACACTTCATTTAACCATAGCAGATGATTATCAAGACCAGGAATTCACGTTGGTAGACTACTACTAACTAAGCTGCACATCTTACTCAAATTTCACCATTTTCCCCACTAATGTCCCTTTTCTATTCGAGGATCCAACCCAGGATCCCATATTGCATTTTGTTTTCATGCCTCCTTAGACTCCTTCAATCTGTGACATTTCCGAAGCTCTGCTTGTCTTTCATGTCCTTAACACTTTTGATGAGTACTAGTCATTATTTTGCAGAGTGTCTCCATTTGGATTTGATGTTTCCTCATGATTAAATGGAGAAAATGCATTTTTGGCAAGAAAATCACAGGAGTGATGTGCCCTTCTCAGTGCATCATATCCAGGGATACATGATGTCAATATGTCTTACCACTGGTGACATTGACTTTCATCACTTGGTTAAGGTAGCATGGGCCAGATTTTTCCACTGTAAAGTTATCACCTTTCATCTTGTCGTTAATGAATACATTTGGGGAGAGACTATGAGACTATGCAAATATCCTGTTTCTCTTTAAACATTTGTTCACTGATTTCAGCCTCCACTGGTATATCCTGTCTGCAACAATACTATAGCGTTTATGAACTGGAATTCTTCTGTAAAGAAGACTTACTTCTTCTCCCCAAATTATTTATTTATTCAATTATACATGTAAATCAATATGAACTCGTAAATGTTTATTTTATTCTATGAGATATAATCCAAAATTTTTATTGATTTTTTTTTTTTTCTCAAATTGTTCCAGTTTTGACCACTGGGAGCTCTTTCCAGATGGTTCTTGTGTTTTTCTGATATGCTCCCATCAATTTTTAGTACTTCCTGATTTGCTGGTACCTCAAGATGTTCCAGACTCATCTATCCTGCCTCAGCTTCTGAGCAGCCCTAAGTCTTTTTATCGAAGAATGGTATTTAGAAGTCAAGATTTGGACACCGAGCGTGCTCACTACTACTGGCAAATAACTGCTTCTAGGCCTTTCCAGTAGGCAGGGCTAGTTTACTAATACAAACATATTCACGTATCTGTATTCAATTCTACATCTATCCGTATCCGTATGTGTGCATATATCTGTGAGTTCGTACTGATACCTGATTCCAACCTAGTACCACAGGGTCTGTTCTCAATTCCAGCCTTCTCCCTTTCATTATTTGTTAAATTTCTTTCTCAGACAGTGAGAAATCTGTCATTTGCTTATTTGTTCAATCCTAGTATTCACATAAATTAGTTTTAGAATTTCTAAATTGTACCTCTGTAAAAAAACAGATCTGCTAACTAAAGTACAGGATGTGTACAATTCCTTCTGTCTGTAGTCTCATAATATTCAATTAAGTAATTAATAGAAAAATTTTTTGCTTCCTTAAAGGGTTTCCAATAAATCTGATGCTCTCCATGCTGAACACATCCACTGGCTTATTGTACTTCGAATTTAACTATATATAACACGCCACCTACTCGTATTTTATACCCTTGCCTACTACATTGCTACCTCTGCCTGAACGCCTTCCCTGCCTCCTTCGCTCCCTTTCTGCATCATATTTATTCTCCAAGGCCTAAGTCCAATATCGTCTTAGTTAATAACTGATTGGTCATTCACGATATAAGGTAATATTTTAAGTGCATTAAGTATAAGCACATTAAGTATTAAATAATTTATTTAACCCTCACAACAATACTATGAGGCAAGTACTATTATTATCCCTGTTTTAATAATGAGGAAACTAAGTAACAAAGAGGCTAAGAATCTTTCCCCAAATAACAAAGACAGTAAACACTGGAGCTGGGATTCAAACCAAGGTTGCTTGACTCAGAGGCTGTACTCTTAGCCACTATTATATATTCATCTTATGGAAGAAGCTTTTTCCCAGTTATCCTGGTTAGAACTAATTTATTCAACAAACATTTAGCATTTGCTTTATATTAGATACTATCCTGGGAAATTATGATACCAAAATGAGTAAGACTCAGTGCCCTAGCCACCAAGGGGCTCACAGTCTATTCATGGGTGAGGCCCCTTCTGTGTCCTGACATACTGAGGTGGGGTGCTCCTTAGAACACTTGCTTCTTGGTGTCTGTATCATAGTGATTTGCTTACACCATGGCACTAGGCAAGGACCACATCATCCCCACGTCTTTGTGCTTAGCACCTTGTGTGATGCCTTGATACTGTAGGTAAGGAGGCAGAATCCCTTGGAATTCCATTTTTTATCAAAAAGGTCAAGAAAACAAATTCATATAGGCTTCCACCAAAGAACATTTGGAACGTATAATTCATAGTGTAGAAAACTTGAAGTTTATAATGTCAATGACAGTTTCTTCTTCAAGCCTTTTATTAATCAGATCACCTGGTTATGTAAAAGTGCTGCCTACAGTTATTATAATCATAACCCCCAAAATGGCAAGGGATATAGTGCCCTTCCTTTCTGTTTTTTATCTTTCCTTCAGACTTAAGCAGTGAGTTAAAACAATTCTGTGTTTGTACATATACAAAATATGTACATGAAAACAATACTGCAATTATAAATAAGAACAATAAATCATGCTAAAATCTTCTTGTTCCTAAAAAGAAACTACAAATCTTAGTTTCTTCACTATAGACTGTAAAACTTTAACACGTAGTCAATATATTATTATACTTTCATATATAATAATTCAAATTCAATAATGTAATAATTCAAATACTTCAATATATACTAAAGACAGTAAATATTTTAACCACGCAGTCTTAGAAAAGCTGAGTCTAAATGGTTAAACAATTTTCCCTGAGGTTGAAAGGCAAAATGGACAGAAAATCCAGGTTAGATTTTTTATTCAGATTTGCATTCTAACTGCTCAAATCATAAGTGAGCAAGAACTGGCTTGTGGATTGGATCTCAGCCACTAACCCCCCTGTCGGCTATTGCTGAATACTGGAAAGAGGATTGTCAACAGAAGGAATATTGCACAAATCTCTGCTGTGCACCAGCCTGCCCAGTTTCTCTAAAAGAGGCCCAGGCTCTATGATCTTTCACAAAGAAGTGACAAAGAAGTTCTTTGCCTCTCACAGTGTAGTGGATTGAATTATGTCCCCCCCAAACTCATTAAAGCTTGAATTGCATCCCCCAAGTTTTATGTATTAGAAAGTTAGCCCCCACTGTGACTGTTAGGAGGGTGGGAAGATGGAGCCTTGAAGAGATGATTGGATTGTAGGACCATGCAGTAGTGAATGGATTAAAAATGGTGGTTGGGGTGTGGTTCTGAGGGCTTTAAAAGAAGAGGAGAGTCTGTCTCTCTCTCTGCTCTCTCTGCTCTGCCATTTTCGCAATGTGAGACCCTGCTGTTACTGTCACCACCACCAAGACCCTCACCAGATGTGTTCCCTGGACTTTGGACTTCCTAGCATCTGAAACTGTAAGCAATAAATTTTGTTTTCTTTATAAATCAACTAGTTTCAAGTATTCTGTTATAAGCAACAGAAATGGACTACTACGCACAGCCACTTGGGACACCACACTTCGCAGCAGAGGAACGTGTAACAAAGGAAGAAAGCTATGGGGGGTTGGGGGGAGGGATGGGGAGGAGAAGGGGTGGACTAATGGGTACAAAACTCTGCTGTCTACCCTAAGTGAATCACTGTGCAGTACATGCATGTATCAATACAACACACTGTACCCCACAAATATGTACAAGTAAATGTTAAAATTAAAAAGCCATAGCCAAATAAATAAATAAAAATAGGAGAAAGAGTGATAAATACTGAAAAAATAGTGCCATTTATAAATCAGTGAGGATTTTATAAGGAACTACATGACTTTTCAGTCTTTTTTTATTACATTAGTTTATGTAACATATAGCATATATTAATACTATATAAATATACATAATATTTTATATAGCTTTGCACTAGTTAAATTACTCATTAGGGCCTACGAAATATCAATTTTACTTTCCCTATTTTCTCTATTTCCATTTACAGTTTTAAGAAGTTAAAGGTATATATAATTCTCATTATTCAAGGCTATACAGTAGGTATGTATATGTAACCAAATCATAATAACCTTCTTAGTGGAATAATCTTTAAAAAGGTGAATTTGAAACTCTTTTTCCTGACATACTCCATAATTTTGAGATGGCTCTTCCAAGTCTTCCTGCTTACTCTACTAGCAACATAGTAAAACAGAAAGGTGGTTAATCTCTTTCTGTATGTTTTAGCAATCCAAATCCCAACTCTGATGTGAATAATCACAAGTTTACATTGATCTACTTTTTAAAACAGAATTTGTATATCTATCCCCAAAGAATCCTTCTTAAACCTGCTGGCAATTCGCATCTGTGTTTGCCCTTTTCCAGCTGGACCACAGGATGTCACATGCTTCTGGTGGATCTGACCTTTACTTAGCAAGTCCCTCTTGGCCCTTCTAAGATCTTGGTTTTCATCTTCGGCTCCTGGGTTCCTAACCAGAAGCACAATGCATATGCACTGCCTGTGCCTGCTCTCTGCACTGCAGACGCAAGCTCAGTGTTGGCTTCTTCAGTGGATTTTTCCATTGGCTTGGTTGACATTCTGTAGTGTAATCTTGGGAGCAAGCCCAAAGGGATTTATATGTTTGCCTGAGACTTATATGCTAAGTCTTTAGTAAATAAAGCAGTCATAATTACAAAAGAATATCTTAAAAAATTAAATCACTCATTATCACTGGGCAACTCAAACCAAGTCAGCAAATAGAGAGATGTGTTAAATCAATTTTCTGCTACAGCTCAAAGAAACGGTGGTAGAATAAACTATAAAATTGGTGTCTTTTGATTTCTTTTGTCTTTCTATAAGTTAAGTGTTTTTTCTACTAGATTGAGCACATTTTCCTAACCAGTAAATTGGAGGTTAGTTCATTTTTTGGTTGTTTTTTAAAAAGAATTTTAAGGGTTTTAAAACTATCACACTTGAAATACTACTGGGTTACTGTATAAAAAGTTCATTCTATGTATAAAAGAGTATATTCTCACCTATAATTACTCCAGTGACCTACAGCCAGTCCAAAGCCTCCTATTCATCCTCTAAAGGAAAATTAGTGTTTTATTCTCGGAATAATGCATACACTTCTTAGCATGGCATGGAAGCCCCTTGGAGATGGCCAGAAGCACGCAGGGCCATCAATTCTTTCCTCTTCCTCCTTGTCCCTGTTCGTCCTCCAACCTACTCCTCCAGCCCTACTAAGTCACCTACAATTCCCAGAAAATGCCATATGTCCCCTTATCTTGTCCTTTCCATAAGCCCCAAATCCATGCCTGCCCTATTTCGTTTGTCCAATTCTCTGTCCTCCTTCAGGTTACTGCTTAGATGTCCCTTTCCCAGGGCTGTCTACGGTTCTTGGAGAACCCTCACATAGGTGCCTGCACTGTCTTCTCACTGCAAGTGTTTCTCATTCACGATTTACCCTCTGAGCCTGAAAAAGTGCCCATCACATCCAGGCACCTGCTAGACACCTGACAGATGAACACAGGAATCTTCAGATCCAGGTCCTGTAAGACTTACCTGCTTCCGCATCACATCTGTAGCCTGCATAATGTAGCGAGGAGGCAGGCCGTGGCTCCTGGCCAGGATGATGGCCTGCTCCAGCGTCACGCTCAGCGTGCACCTGCAGACCAGAGCAGACGTCAGACCCCATGGTTCCCAGTAAGCTCTTTGGGGCAGTTTGGGTTACTAATGTCAAAATCAGAAAGCACCAGCCAAAACCAAAGCGACTAGAAAAATGAACCATTGATTTTTCTACATAGAACATCTATGTAGAAACAATCCATTATAATAGAACAATCTATTAAAAATAGATTATAGAGGTACATTATTGAGGTCATAAATTAAGTATCTAAATTTAAAACAAATCCACAATGATCTATGTTTATGAGACAGCTTATTCACATCGACAGAAAATTAAATAAACAGAATTATAATACATTTTATTATTAAATATTGATTTTTACTGATATTTCATGTAAGTTAGAAGGAATGACTTTATAACAGTTATTCATTTTTACATACTGATAGTTAATAGATTTATGCTGATCTATGCACAAATATCTTCGAAAAATAAACAGTGAAATTCCGATTGGCTAAGGTCACAATGGACTAAAACGTATTTCTTCAACCCAATTCCAAAGACTATTTGCAAAAATTTCAGAAGGAACTTGTAATTAGTAATACAGGAATTTGGTGCCCAGAGTAGCTTTGAGAAAAGTGTTCTAACCAGAAGTGAGTGCTTGGTGAGTCTCTGTTCTTTTCCTTCCCTTTGAGGCATTTCTTTTATGTTCTTCCACATTTTTCTCTATAGCAGTCCTTAAAGCCTATATTTATTTGTTAATATCTTCAGATGTTGGTCTCTGAATTGGCTTTTAGGGGTACCTTTTGCATACATTTCATAAAAATGCTCATTACTTTTAGATGTTTTTCTTAAAATTTATATTAGTGGATTTGGTTTTACTTCTTTTTTAAAAACGTACTGATATTTTGATTAGTCTCTTCTCCATTTCTGAATTTACCTCCCTGTGGTTTGGTGTTTCACTCCTGCATTTTTCCAGACCTGTCTAGTATTTTCCCCTAGAAATGACAGTAAGTTCTGCAACGCAATTACTTCTATGTGGGGAATACCTGACTCATTATCCTTGGTTATGTGGCTGTAACACATATGTCCAATACATTTGGTAGGTTTAGATACTGGTGCATTAAGACAAAGAGGAGAAAGGAATTTAAAACACTACCTTGCAAAATTAGAAAGAACCTGACAAAGTGCAGCTATATTATTATACAAAATTGCATTCTAAGGAGAACCATATTAAGTTCCATTGGCTGTTAAATGACTTGAAAACAGCTTCCTAATTACCATTACAGAGAATTCTTTTGAAAGCGTTAGTAACATATGTTCAGATGGGCTAAAGCTTTATAATTAGCTTCTGGTTGTAGATGATGTTCACAAATATTTTGTGTATGAGTCTGATAACAATGCATATTATTTTATGTGTGCATGCACGCCGCACAACAGGGTATATCAGTGAAGGCCAAGCAGTGTAACTGACAGTTCATGTTTAAAAATCAATTTCCTACAAAGCATTTAATTGTCAGCTTACTCAACAGACCATAACCTTTTTCTCCTCCTTAAGGTCTCCTCTGCTCCAATTTTAAATATTTATTGATCCTAACATTTTAATCAATAATGCTCATTATACCAGCTGAATGAAGCTGAGGGAAAAAAAAATCTTTACCTTTTCCTAATCATGCTGAAATATTTCTGTGCTTTGCTGATAAAGCATGACTTGCCCTATTCTGCTTACAACAAACACTTACACTGTGGGGTTTTTAACAGGCACCCGATAATTTTTACTCATTTTCTTAATCCTTTTAAGCAGATCTCTCTCTCTCTACTTTAAATTGTAGTAAACAGCAGCAGTACAGCAGGAAATTGTCTGCCAGAGACTTAAAAAGATTTTACTGTGATCTGGAAATCAATGTGGCTGACAACATGCCCTATGACAGGGTACCTCGACATGCCACTTCTTTAGAATCAGTCACACATCACCTAACAGAAAAATCTACCTTCAAATGGATGTGAATATTTTTCTCCCTAGCATATTAAAAAAGATAGCTGCATCTATACTTGTCTTTTCATACTCTCCTGTGTCCTATTAGGTCTCAAGATTAATTTGAAATTTTTAAAAAGTGAGATATTTTAAGAGACAACCATGTAAATGTGGAAAATATTGCTTGTATTTGATCCACGGCTGATGGATCCAACCAAGGCCTAGTATTTCCACTCACAACATCACAGAATTCTATTATCCTAAATTAAGCTAGTGAAAGAGGGCCTAGCAGTAAGTCCACAACTCTGCCAATATACTATTAGCTGCCTCATAGCTTTTTGCCTTCTCTCAGTGGTCTCAATCTGATTGTCAAGCGGTAAAATTAATCATTTGCAAGAAGCATTTTGGTCCTGGCATTCTCTGAAAGACTCCAGGTCCAGAAAGTGACACATGGCTTTTCAATGGTGCATAAGTGTATACTCAGGGTCAGGTTTTACAAGAGATCATTTGATTTTATAGGTACTTTCTGATTACCAGAGGGAATGACCTCTGATAACCCTGGGAAAGAGAATGAAAGAAACATACTAAAGGCCTGGGCTTCCACGCAATATGAGGTTTCTTGACTGACACCCCAACCTCCTTTCTAGCACTATCACTGTTTTCACATTAGACGGTTCAATTAAAGTTTAGATAAATCTATGTTTTTATCCCATCTGGAAAATATAAACCTTCAATTTTTCAGTTCCTTTGAGATGCAACATTATTTTTATTTATTTATTTGTCTTTTTTCGTGTCCAGTAAGGGAATCGCAACCCTTGGCTTGGTGTCGCCCGCACCACGCTCAGCCAGTGAGCACACCGGCCATTCCTATATAGGATCCGAACCCGCGGCGGGAGCGTCGCTGCGCTCCCAGCACCGCACTCCCCCGAGTGCGCCACGGGGCCGGCCCGCAACATTATTTTTTAAAAAATTCAGACAACTTTTTTCCTAGGAGTCACAAAAATAATAAATGTCTCAGATTAGTATTTGTCCTTCACAAAAAAAGGCAAATATACACACTGAGGAAAGTTTTTCTATAATTTTAGTAAGAAGACATTTCTAGTAGTGGCTTTGCTTAGGGTATAATTGTGACGAAGTGCACTTGATGGGGTAGAAAAATTATACAGAAATTGTTATATAGAAAGGAAAAGGAAAGGGTCACTATATCTGTGCTTATAACTTATAAATCTTGACATATTTCGTATAGAGAATAGATCCCAAATCACTTACGATATTTAGCATAGTTTTAATATGATAAATGTAACCTATAGCTAATGGGTCCAATTTAATTTGAAACACATTTTGATTTAGCAATGCTATCAAATAAACACAAAAAAGTACTTTTCTATTCATTCATTCATTTGCCAATTTTTTTCAAGTGTCTACTTTGCATCTATAAGAACCATTAGGTGACAGAAGTAGATTTACTGTGAAGCTTAAAAAAGCTTGAATTTCAGGGGTGCTGCTTGTATGAATTCCTTTCAAGATTCTGGGGAGAGTCCTAGCACCATGTCCACATAGTCACATGCTTTTACAAATTTGCAAAAGCAAGATGTTTTAACAGCAAATAGTTATGGCTGCTGTCTTATTTTCATCCCAGCTTCCTCTGTAATGTTGGGTAGTGTTCTAATTGCAATGGTTATTTCTGGAACTGAGCTAAAGAAAGTTGAGTTAGGGATGCATTTAGGCTAGGTTTAATGGGATCTATCTGTATAATTCACAGTTACTTCCTGATAGAGTTTGGACGTATTGTCCCACCAAAACTCATGTGGAAATCTGATCCCCAATGTGGCAGTGATGGGAGCTGTTTGAGTCATGGGGTCAGAAACATTATGGATGGATTAATGCTTTCCCTGGGTGGGGTGGGTAGTGAAAGTTCTCATTGTATTAGTTCTCACGAGAGCTGGTTGGTTAAAAGAACCTGGTACCTCCCTTCTCTGGCTTCCTCTTGCCACATGATCTGTTTTGTACCCGCTGGCTGCCTGCCACTTTCCACCATGAGTAGAAGCAGCCTGAAGTCTGCACCAGATGCAGCTGTCCCAGAATTGTAATAAAGCTCTGTTCTTTATAAATAACCCAGTCTCAGGTATTCTGTTATAGCAATACAAAAACAGACTAATACAGGAAAATTGGTACAGAGGAGTGGGGGATTGGCTATACAGATAACTGAAAACATGGAAGCAGCTTTGGAAGTGGCTTTGGAACTGGGTAATGGCAAGGATTGGAGAAGTTTGCAGGACTCAGAAGAAGACAAAAAGATGAGGGAAAGTTTGGAACATATTAGAGATTGGTTGAATGGTTGTGACCAGAATGCTGATAGAAATGTGGACAGTAAAGGCCATGTGGATGATGAGGTTTCAGATAGAAATGACTTATCAGGAATTGGACAAAAGATAACCTTTATTACACCATAGCAAGAAACTTGACTGCACTGTGTCCATGCCCTAGAACTCTGTGGAAGGTGGAACTTAAGAGTTCTGAACCAGAATGTTTGGTGGAAGAAATTTCCAAGCAGCAAAGTATTAAGGAAGCTGCATGGCTACTTGCAACAGCCTATTCTGAGTTATGGTGACAAAGGCATGAGGTAAAGTCAGAATTTAACAGGGAAGCAGAGCTTAAAAATTTGGAAAATTTGCAGCCTGGCCATGTGGTAGAGAAGCAGAGAGCAGGAGAAAAATGCAAGGGTGCAGGAGATAGACTGATTGATAAAGCCATTAGCATAGCTATGAGGCAGCCAGGAGTTAATAGCCAAGACAATGAGAGAAAGGCCCAGAAGTCTGGAAGCCCCTCCCATCACAGACGCAGAGCCCTAGGGGGACCAAGTTTTTCCAGAGGACAGATCTGGGGCACCACTGCCCTTGGGAACCTGCTCCCTGCATCCCAGCTGCTTTGTTTGGAGCAGTCCTGCCTCAAGTGGCCCTAAGTGTGGTTCATGCAGCAGCTCTGGAGAGGAGAAGCCTGAAACCTCAGTGGCATTCAGGTTGCATTAAGTCTGCAGGCGGGCAGGACATAAGAGCAGTGGAGGCCT